CTTTCTTCATATATATCAATATTGAGATGTCATTCCTTTGAGGTAATTGTAAAAATGTCGGTGATTTGCATAGCCTCAAAAAGCAAATTTTTAGTTCATAATATCAATCTTATAATGACAGGTAAGATTATGTCTTTCTTTTGCTACTCCCACCCTTCCCTGAAGCTGAGCCACTACTTTGTGTCTTTATGATAAGTAGTAATGGATGCATCATGCTAAACTTTCCAGGCATAATGATAAAATTGATTGGTCAACAGAGTTCCTCAAAAGGTACCTGCTCTGAGTTACACACAGGAATCTAAAGTTATGAGTCTGGATGTTACAAGGACTTCTGTAAAACTGTGGAAAAGAGCTTAAAGCTGAATGAACATTCTGTTATGAAGCTAAAATAAAATAAAATAAAATTTAATTAACATAGATACTTAAATATCAAATTAGCCTAAAGTCTGAGATAGGTTATTGCCTACTCACTACACTGACTCCTTAAGAAGCAGTTGGCCCCTTTTATAATAGATATGTTCTCAGTTAAGATCTGCTTTGCATCTGTCCACAGTTTGATAGTGTTCCCTATATTCCAGAGGTTAGAGGCATTTAAAGTAACCTAGAACTGAGTACTTATTAAAGACAATCTTCTCTGCCTTCTCCTTATTTTTATCCAGCCTGCCTTCTTAAAAATATATACATACTTGTTCCAAGCTAGCTAGCATTAAGAGGAACTCTGATAAGTAATGTTGATATATTTGTCATAATTATGGTGAGATTTTGTTGGATTCCATGTTTACAAGAAAATCATAGAAAATAAAACACTATCATGCTTAAAAATATGCATTTTTAATACAAAATACCAATGACATGTGTTTTTAAAAGGACTTGAGAGGGAAAGGAGTTAATATGGCCCATGCAGACAGGAGTTTTTCTCTAAAACCAAATCCGAATGAGAGTCAGTAACACAATAAGAGGCAAAAGCTGTGTCTTCAGATCTATTGCACCGAGGGGTGAGGAGTGACTCTGACAGTCAAACAAAACAGACATGAAGATGCATCTCATACCTGAAGATGCATGTTTTTCTGAAGATGGTAGGGGGATTTTTGTGGATTTCTGTTAGACCCAGGGGCCCTGTCACCATCATCTTGCGTAAAACATAGTCTGAACCCTTGAAAAGAGAAAGATTTCATTACAGAGAAGAATAAGTAGACCTCATATTCTCATTAAAGCTTATGGGGACAGATAAATAGGAAAAAAATAAGAAAACTTTAGATGACCTCTAGCTTTAGGTACAGTGACATTTATTTATTCTGTACCACTAAGGAATGAGGTGTTCTACAAGATAAAAATTTCAAAATACAATCTTCTTTTAAATGCACAAACCTATTTTTATAATTGTGATAGAATAGTGTTTACATTACTTTTCTGATATTAAAAGTACATTGTAGAACATTTGAAAAATACAGAAAAGCTCCCCTCCCCCAAAATAAGTACAATAAAATATATTCTCCAGTGAGGTCTTTATCTTTACTACCTCACCAAAACTGTATGTCAAGGTTATTACTGACTCTCTCATTGTCAGATTCCTAATCTTAATCTTCCTCTACCTCTCAGTAGCATTTGATGCAGGGAACAACTTCCTTCCTGATATACTTTCTTCACTTGGCTTTTGGGACACCACTCTCTCCTGGTTCTCCTCCTACTTTACTAAGCACACCTCTGAGTCTCCTTGCTTCTTTTTGTCTCCCTCAGCGCTAAGAGGTTTTTCAAACCGTAGGTCATAAACTACATATAGGTTATGAAAATATTTTAATGTCTTTTTAAACAGCTTTATTGAGGTATAATTGATATACAAAAATGCACATAATGTGTACAATTTGATGAATTTGGACTAATGAGTCTTGGTAAAGTTTTTTTGGTAGAGACTATTTTGTTTTAAGGAAGTAATATTAATTTAGTCTGTAAAATACACTAAACTGTAGGGAAGATGAATTCAATTGAGAGAAGCAAGAGGGATTTTTATGCTCTCCTTAAAAAAAATCCTTTTATTAAAAATGAAAACTATGATAACAGGATCTATGAGGCTACATGATGAATGATGCTTAGAAGAACAAACGTGAAATTTTCCTTTGCCTCTCTACATTCCATGTCTTCGTGTTCTAGATGAAATGTTTTCAACAGAATACTTAGCAAACTGTAAAGATTAAACCACATTGGCAATTGGGTTTCTAGTTTCTTTCCTAATTTATTTCTTCCATGATTTGTTATTTGGTGTTAAGTATACTAGACAGATCCTTTTTTAGAATGTGTTTCTCGGTTTAAATCTTTAGCTAAAACCAACCAATCCCTCTCCTGTTTCCCCCACAAAATTGTGTATATTGACCACTGTTAGACCAGAAGCCTAATATAAAAAATAAGGGGCTTGTGATAATGTCTGAAAATAAGCTTGTTTTTCATTTACTTTTACTTGGATCAAGACACTATAAATTCAGCAAGTGCCTTGGCAATTATTCAACAGCGAGATAACTACTGCTAATTAAAATTTCCTAGGAAATCATTTAGAGAAAGAACCACAATTATTTTTCTCTCCATTTTCTTCTGCCATTGTCTTGTTACTTTTTCCTCCTTTACCTTTCCAATATCTATTCATTCTCACCTTTCTCATTACACATTATCTTTAGTATTTATCCTATTTTGCTTTTTTCTCTTTTGACAAATATTTTTTAAAAGAATGAAATAAAATAGAATAGAAAATATCAGAAAACATCAATTGTAGTAAAAGTAGGTATTATTTGGGGGAATTTCTGTTTTAAGCATGTGTGTATGTTTGTAAAGGGTCAGGATATAAACTATTTTTCATACTATAGGTCAAGGTCAACAGAATTTTGAGCCACAATGATTCCAAACACTTGAAATGCCTCAGGGCTCAGACCTCAGGTTTTTTTTTTTTCTTTTCCTTATCTTCACTCATTTCCTTGGTCATCCCATCCAATCTCATGGCTTTTGTTTTGTTTTTAGTTATTTTGGTAAAATATACATAGCATTATATTATCCTTCTAATCATTCACAAGTATATAATTCAGTGACATTAAATACATTCCCAATGTCGTGTAACCCAGTCTCATGGTTTCAAATACCATTTATTCACTAGTCTGGATTTCTCCCCAAACACCAAGTTCATTTGCCCAACTGCCCATTTAGTTATCTCCACTTAGATGTACAACATTTTAAATTATAGTTTTAAGTTATAGTTTAAAAATATACTTTTCAATTTAGTAGATAAATTATCTTTTACTTAACTTTGTATTTATTTCATTATGAGAACAATTGAACACTTTTTTCATGTTTATTGACCATTTGCGTGAGAATTTTTTTTAATAGACTTGTCCTTTGCTTATTTTTCTTTGTATTTTTAAAAATCTCACTGATTTGTGTACAACAGTGTTAACCCTTTGTCAAACATGTGGCAATTTCCCCCCAGTCTGTCAAGAGTAATTGTTATTTTCTATAACTTTCGTGCAAGAAAGTTTTACTTTTTTATGTTGTCAATGTATCAGCCTTGCCTTAATTGTTTCAACCTTTCATGTAAGGAATTAGCCATACTTCCCAGACCAAGATTATAAATTCCCTGTCATCCCTCATTTTTTTTAGCTACTCTCATGTATTTATTCTTCCTCCAGATGAAGATTAAAATCATTTGGTCAATTAAAAAAGTCATTTTGAGATGTTTTTGGAATTTTGTTAAATTTATAAATAATTTTTGAAAGAAATTGTATTTTTTCAAATGGTCTTCTTGTGAAAAAAAATCATGATATGACTTTATATTTTATAAAAAAAAATTATGTCCTTTGGTAAATTTGTAGTTTGCTTCATGTAGGACCTAAGGGTGAGGAGGTGAAGCAGGGAGAATGTTCCAGGCAGAGTAACAGCATTTTTAAAGTCTCAGAGATAGGGAAAAAAAATTATTTTCTATTATGTATGGTTGGATGTGAAACATTAATTGTGGCATTATATTTTTTCCTCCTCCTGATAGTCTTCACCCTCCTTCTTCCTTTTCATTAGATCAGAAAGTCTGTGTTACTTTAGAAAAAAATGTGATGAGATGAAAAGCAGAAAGCACCGGCTAATCTCTGGCTTTCTTTTTTTCAAATGCCTACATTGATACAATTGAAGATTGCAAGTGTTCACCATTTATCTCTCTCAAATACCTCAGGGAAATAAAAAACCAAGGTCTTGGTTTCCTTGTTGGCTGTCAGCTGAGGGCTACACTTAGCTCTCAGAAAGCTTGGGTCTTTAAACACAGCCCTGTACATCTCAGAAACTGCAATGGGGTATCAAATTTTTCTCACACTGTTATCTCCCTGCTTCTTCTCTTATCCTCTCATCTTTTAGAGACACATAGCCAGAAAAGGTTTTCTGCTTTTAAGAGACCACTGATACTTTTTACTTTTTTGAGGCACAGAGCAGACTGATGAAGAGAGATCCAGAGAGGCTGCAAAAGAGGAAGGGGGTGGCTTAGAAAGTTATTATATTTGAGTGCTTGAAAAAAGGTATCCTTACAGCTACTTCAGCCATTTTTAACACCAAAACTTTATTGTAGTGTCTTCCACCTAGGACAAACCCCTGACCACATCCTTAGATAGCTGTAGTGGTCTCTGCCTAACTGTAACTCCACCCAGATGCTGCTGCTGAGTGGTTCTCCTCTCCTCCCCTCTGGGGATGGTCTGCACCTCCATAAGATGGCCCTGAGTAAAATGGATAGTGACCTTTGTGGCCTTGTCTGCAGCACTGTGACTCTGAAACTACACACCCCTGAAACCATGCTGATTGCTATGGGTGATATTAAACTTCTTCATGGTACCTTAGGTGTCATTTGCTTTAAGGCCCCAACAAGGTGTTTCTTAAGTGTGGTGAGACACTGACCAAGTGGAATCCGCCCTGGATCCCACATCCTCAGCCCCATCGTGATTGTGGCCTATCAGACTCGGTGCTCTACTTTCATACTAAGCGGTCCTCACACCCACATAGACATGTTCCATTCCAGTTCTGAGGACACTTGGAGGCTCCCACCTCCACCCCACCCTGGAAACAGCACCACAACTAGCAATTATAGATAGGGGGCCTTTCAAAAAAGAATGTGATGTAATTGTGTTATTCTAAAACAACAGTGCCTCATCCCTTCCCACTTCACCTATGATTCTGGTGGGGGCTGTCAGTTATAGTAGACTCCCCATCCTGACCAGAGGGGCAAAGCTCAGGATAGATCAAAAAGAGTTTTCTTTCATGGGTTTTCCAAGATGAAACAGGACGGAAAGATTCTTTTCTAGTTACTGAGCATCTGGCTTGCCCTGTGGAGAAAGCCCATCTTTAGCCAGAAGGACAAAGCCAAACTGTAGAGGGAAGCAAGCATGAGAACTGGGAAGAGAAAGAACTTGGCGGTACCAAATTCCTGGATCTGGTCATCCTGGAAGCCAGCTTGACTCCTGCCCCTTCTTCATTTTGGTCACATGAGTTAATCGATTCCTCCTTTTACTTAAGGCAGTTTGAGATGGACTCTTGCCACTCACAACCAAGGGTCTTGAGTAGGGATCATGAGAAATATGTCCCTTGTCATGCTAATAGCTAACTAAATATGGTTTTAAAATAGCAGTAAAATAATAACATCTAGAAACTCTGTTACCTTGGGAAGGTCTAACACTGCCCAGTCTTGCCTACCTGCTCTGGACCAGGCTCAATGAAGTATGTTGTGATGGCGGTAATGTCTGGTACAATGTCGTAGAGCCAGCTGATGCCAGTGATCACAACATGCAGGATGTGCTCCCGGCTGTGGACATAGTGATAGGCAGCGCTAAAGACACTGGCAACACCCTGTAGAGATAGAAAATTAATTGCCTTTTCTTTTTAAAATAGCAAAATAATTAGTAATGTATCAATTAGATTATCTTTTCATTAATGACAATCTTCCTACAAATTATTCATCAGTTTTCAAAAGGCAGTGTTCCAGCTTCTATGAAAAAAAAGATCATTATGAAATCAAAGGTGTAAGGAGAGATCTACTGTAAGAGCCATATAAATTATTACGTTTCCTGATAATCATCCAGGGAAATTTTATGGTATGTACAATCATAGAATAGTGTCAGAAGAACAAGATAAAACTTTGAAATGAGAAAACAAATGCTTAAAAGCCAAGACTAATGCCAGCCTTGGGAAGATAGGTAGGAGTTGCCCTGATCTGATGCAATATTAATGCCTACATCTTTATATGGCTACTGTAATCAGATGAACAGTACAGGATGTACTAGGTTCTGAAACCTGCAACATGTTAAGATTACACAGTCTTCTTATAGGCATAAAGAGAGCCTGTTTGTAGAGAAGGAATGGGATGTCCTTAGAACTCATCTGCGGTCTTGTTAAGAAACTCCAGAGACCACAAATTCTTCAAAAATACATGCATTTTATATTAGGACCCAAGGTGCCTAAGAGTAACACAGAAGCCTTTACTTCCAAAGGCTAGAGCATTAACTTGTAATTAATTTCGACATGTTCTCTAACAAGGTTATATATAGCTCACCTACTGATAACTCCATACTCCTCCATTTTGCTTCTTAATATCTTCACATCATTCTTATGTTAGGTGAGAATGAATCTTATTATTAAAAAGATGTCCAAAGAAAAAGATTCTACCACTTTCCATAGTTATAGATCCAGTAAGTGGGAAGAGAGATTTTAAAATAATGGTAAATAAACATAAAAAGCCAGGGGCTTACAGGGGAACAAATGATATGAGCATAGCAAGTTCTCAATTGCTGCTACATCCCAATCTGTTGCCTCCATAAAGGCTTTCAAACTTCCTGCATTGCAATATCTATTCATAAAATTAAATTTAAATGCTTAAAGAAATAATCCAGTTATTTTATAGTCTTAAAAGTGCCTATCCTTTTCGTGATCTAATTTGAAAACATTACTACTCAAGAAACATTTAAGCTTTTTCCTTGCTTCTTCTCCATCAAAAAAATTATAGCACTGATATCAAGAGTTATGGAAATGCATATTATATTTAGCATTATTTGTTGAAAGAGCAAAGAATTTCTGGGTACCACTATTAATAAAACATAAATATGTACTTATTCTTACTATGTGGGTCTTAGTAGTTTAATGCTTGGATTTTGGTTCTACAGCATAAAATTATGTTTCTATGATTAATGCAATGGGACACATATTAACAATCTTCCCAGAGAGTCTGAGGCCCATATGTGCAAGTGAGGCTGAGAGTCCTTCCATGCGTAATGGGAACCTCTACAAAGACTGACACATACACATAGGGAACTGGAACCAGAATGGTAACACTATCTAAATACATAGTTCTACTCTCATCCAGTTTCAGGTTTTGCTTTTTAAAAAATTATAGAAGGAGAAGCCATCCTACCATTGCTATTCACAAATTCTTCTATGGCTTACCTGATAGAATCTAATTTCGTGAGGTAAGAAGATGTTTATTTCATGGGGATCTCTTAGGGTGTCAATAGCCATGACCCCAAAGATTCTCATATAAGCATCCTGAAGAGGCAGAGCCAGGAATGATCCATTTCGATCAGTCTTCTTGCGGGAATCATTCCAGAAGAAAATGTTCCCATGGTGTTGAACTTGGGGTACATGTATTGGTGTCCCTTCATCCACTACTGTAAAGCTGAGGAATAGGAATATAAGGATAGGAGAAGGGCACAGGAGAGGCTTTAAATCATATAGGAAATAAAATCGATTCTACATTGTAATCATAGCATTATATGTCAATAAAGTGGACTCAAAATTACCAGTTTGTAGAGTCTAACTTGAGAAAAAGATTTAAAAAACAAGCTTAGGTCATAACTGAGAAAACATATATAAACAGGATACAAGAGACATAACTTATAAAAGATAATATTATGAAGCAGAGTCTCTATGTGGCAAATTAATGCCTAACGTGAGCTCTAGAAACAATTAGGTAAAATCATGTAAGATTGGAAACCCACCACCTCCCGGGAGCTCTAGAAGCATTGGTGACCTGAGACAATTTTTCTCTTGGTCAACTAACTAGGATTTTAAAGCTAGCTTACTTCAGGAAGGGAATTATTATTTTTAGAAAAGTAAAACCAACCTTTTCAAGAAATTCTTACCTGATTCCCTTCATGTCCCTGTAGAGTACTTTGTTTAGCACAAATGGAGCATCATCTAAAGTACAAGCTACATTCCTCAATAGAACAGTCCCTCTATGAGGCAGTAGTAGGTTTTCTTCTAAGAGGGAAATGTGAGCACTAATCTTCTTATTTCCATGGGCTTGAGCATCCTACGGAAAAAATGTTTCTGACCATGTATTTGCCAAGAGCTATTCTCTTAATCATATCTCCCTGATTAGCCAGCCAGTTTGTACATCTGACCTCAATAATTTCATTTTCATGAATAAATGATGGAGATATTACCATTTATGGCAGTGAGGAAAAGATTGATACCACAGCTGTCCCCCAAACCTGAGTTTTAGTAAGTGGTATGGATTTACTTAATGCCAACTAGACTGGTTTACCAAGAAAAAATCTCTCAAAATCTACTTAAATTTAGAGGTTTAAAACTTGGATCCCTTTGAACTATAGTTATATTGTCTGGGCTTCAGTTAAAAGTATTTATTTTAGGAAGCTGGTACAAGATGGCTTCAATTCACTCATATTTCTTAACCATCTACTATAACGTGAATGTGGGGGAAAATGTTCTCAAGGAATTTTTAACATAGTTTGGCTATGACATTTGACTAATGTCATTTCAGAAAAGGATTTCTTGGGGCCCCAGATTGCAGACTTTAGGCAACTACTATTTCTAATGGAAATAACTGAAAACTCTCTGTATTTAAAATATTATGTTATTAAGAATATTACATGTTAACACATATATTGAGCATGTCCATAAATTGGGGGACATGAATGACATTATATTTGTCTCCACTTTCTATATATTTGGGTTTGCTTTTCATGCCTTTTTTTCTTCTGCCTTTATTACTCCTTTTATTCTACAAGGTCTATAGAGTAACTGACAAAAATGTGGTGAGATTTCTCTTAGGGTACTGCAGATCTCTGAAGCGAGTTGGAATAAGACCTCTTTTTCTTGATTGGTCTCCAGTTCTTGATCACCTCGAATGATACAGGTCCCCTGGATCAATGAAATCTGTGATATATGTAGAAGATAGCCATACTGTTTCTGAGAGGAGCAGCAAGCTGGGAGTCTTAGGGGCGGCAAAACTTGAGCAGTGGCCTATCAAGGTGATGCGTTTTCAGTGACATGATTCTATAATAGTCTCAGCTTATTTCTAGGCAGTGCTATGAAATATTGTGTGATATTGGATTCTACTTTATAATGACTTTATAATTTAAATAGTTTCTTTTTGAATGACTCCCAAAACATGCAAGGGGAATGTAGCTTGAATTGCTTGCACATCTCCCTACTGGTATTTTTCAGTCTAGCTTATTTGACTCTGGGCACACATTAATTAGAAATCCCAAGACATAATTAAGTCTTTTATACCTTTCCTCTCTGCTTCTACCTCGCCATCCTACAATCATTCCAATTGCATCTTTCCTAGGCTTTGGGTCATTGGAATGAATAAAACATCTATAGCAGTACCCAGAGAATTTTAAGAGAATTTAGTGTGTGCTCCTCCTTTGCAACCATTGAACATAACCTCCTGTGAGGAATCTTTTCCTTTTATCTATCATTCTAGAAAATATACCTGTGTGAGGGCCTTAAAGGTCTCAGTGTACACTGGCTCCAGAGATACTCCACTTGTCTCTGAAGCACGTTGAATTTGGTGCAGCCACTTCCGTCTGGCACAATTCCTCAGATCCTCAATATGGCTCCTTTTTAAAGTCGTCATCAGAAACTCCACAACACTTTCCAGAACATGATCTTCATTGCCCCTCAGTTCAGATACAACCAATTCTATGTATTTCTGAAACTGTTTTGAAGACAGCCTCACTTCATGACCAGGGTGTGGCTTTGGAAATTGGATGTGTAGTTTAGCTAAAAGACATAAACATAAAACCAAGAACTAACCAAAAGTTCATTTGTCAGTGGAGGCAATTTTCATTCTCCTCTTACAGCAAACTGAAGACCCTGACAACTGCTCCCCATGGAAAATTCCCATGGAAAAGGTATATCAAAGGCATCTCTAAGCCCAACAGAACATCTTACAATGACTTCCTTTGCTAAACTCAAGATGACTCCTACGTCATCTTCTCTGTTTTTGTTTTGTTTTGTTTAATTCTATCACTTAGGTGAAATCCCAGGGCCAACTTTGATTTCTCCATACCTTTTTCATTCCATATCCAATAGACCACTTAATCTTACCCTGTTAGTCTTTGACAATGTATCTTGTGGCCATTCCTCTCCATTTCTATTTCCGTAATACCGAACCAATATTAATTGCTTTAGAGTTGGATTACCAATAGTAAGGCTCAAAATACTAAGAGAAATAAGTCAGGTAGAAAAAGTTGAGGACCATATCATTTTACTCATATGTAGAATATAAAACTGAAAGCAACAAATGAACATGACAAAAAAGAGAGACTCATGGACACGAACAAAATTTTAGTGGTTACCAGAGGGAAGTGGGAGGAGCGAGGAGGTAGATAAGGGTAAAGGGGGACACATATATGGTGATGGAAGGAACTTTGGGTGGTGAATACATAATGCAATATACATATGATGTATTATTGAATTTCACACTTGAAATGTATATAATTTTATTAACCAATGTCACCCCAATAAATTTAATAAAAAAAGTTATACATCAAAAAAGTAGTAAGGCTTAATACATATTTATAAAATTAAATTAAAACACAACTTGTATTACGTAGTTCCCTGGTTCAAACTGTATTTGGATCCAGCCCATGTTCCAATAATATTTGCCCATAATACCGTACAGGAATTATTTGCTCCAGTATCTCCATTCCACTTATAGTCCCTGACCATGCCTTGCACACTTCTACATCAATATCTCTTTTATTTTTTTATAATACAATCATGAATCTACTACCAAATCTGAATATTACCAACAATTTACATCTCCCTTCATGCCCCTGCTGTTGTTAACTCCCCGGTTCCCCATATCCCCTCCCAATTTCCTGAAATTTTGCTTTTGCTTTATCTTTTCCTTGCTTTTTCTCTCCAATAGTGTTATTGTTTGTATGAGTATGTGTACTTCTAAACAATATGTAATTTACTTCTGCCTGTTTGTATACTTTAGAAAAAGAACATCATGCTATATGTAGTTTTCTGGGACTTGCTTTTTCATTCAACATTATGCTACCATATCCATCCATGTTGTTCTTGTGACTGTGACTTATTCATTTTCATCATTATATAATATGTTATTCCGTAAGTATACCACCATTGATTTATTTATTCTCCTGTCAATGGACATGTCGGTTGTCGCCGGTATTTTGCTCTTATGAACAGTGCTATGAGCATTTTTGTACATTCCCTTGGGGTACATGTATAAATGTCTTTGACTTTTATTAAAAATTAATCAGTCACAGAGTATGTGACTTTCCCCCTTTAAAGTTCAAAATCTCTCCTTACTCAGGAAGGATTCCACTATGATTTCCCCCTTCCCTAAAAGATGGAAGCATTCATTCTATACCATTTATTTGACAATTAACAAATACCACCTGCTACTTTTAGTCATCTTGTCATATAAAAGCATCTCATTTCTGGAGCTGGACTTTTGTTGATTTTTGCTCTTTAGCATCCACTCATCTTTCTCCTGGTACTTATATCCCACATTTAGCTTTGGAGAAATTACTTCACTGCCACTTCAGTTCATGTGTTTGAGTAGGGTTCCACTTGTGGTTCTAGAGGTGGAGCATGCATCTCAGGCCTAAGCCAGTCAGAACATTCCATTCCCCTAGCTAGAGGGGCTGGTCCAGACTAATACCACACTTTTTGCTTGAATGATTAAGAAAAGGACACTTTCCTTCTTATTCTTACTGGACTTGAGTAAATCTGTGAGTATGTGAGACTGGACCTGGTCACCACAAGGATAAAGGCTGTATGAAAATGGAGTCGACATATAGAAGACAGCAGGTCCAGACTAAAAGAGAGAGAAAGAGAAAGAAGCAGACACCTGTCCTAATGTCATTATTTAGTTTGTCTCGAACTAGCCCTGGACTTTTTCATCACATGAACCAATTAAATCCTTTTTTTGCTTAACCACTTTGGGATGGGTTTTCTGTTTCTTGGACTCAAACAATCCTAATTCATACATTCCCAATTAGAGCAATCTTAAGCCTATTTGAGAAAAGAGGGTGGCTCTGCAGAGAAGTGGTTTAGCTTATGGTGTCAGAACCCAAGTGGTATGAAGAAGGTGTCCACATGGGGTAGATGCTCAACATGAGGTATTCAAACCTGAGCAGGGTGAGAAGGAAATCTAAATGAAGGGACAACCCAGCCTGGGAAGTCAGAACCTAAACAGGATGAGGAGGGTGTCTATATGGAGAGGCAGCTCATCATGGAGGAGTCAGAGTTCAAGCAAGATGAGGAGGACTTCCAGGTAGAGAGTCCATTCAACATGAGGAGAGTAAGAAGCCTGGGTAAATTGAGGAGGGCATCTATATAAAAAGATACCTTGTCATGGAATGCTAGCGCTCAAAAAGTGTGTGAAAGGCATCTACATAGTGGGGGATCTGGTGTGGCATGTCAGAGCTTGAGCAGAGTGAGGAGGAAAACTGTGTGGGAAAAACTGATTAGTACAGGGTATTGGAACTTAAGTGTAGGACATCAGTTTGCAGGAGAGGACAGCATGATGAAAGATTAGTTCCATTCAGAGAAATTGATCAAAAGAATACAGTCACATACCTCTTAATGACAGGGATAGTGCTGACAAATGTAGGTGATTTTGTTGTAAGAACATCACAGAGCACATGTACTCAAACCTAGATGATATAACCTACTACACACCTAGGCTATATGGTATAGCTTATTGCTCCTAGGCTACAAGCTTGTATGGCATGTTACTATACAAAACAACACAAGATTAAGTCAAGCACGAGAGAAAATGATACAATCAAGAGATGCGGTAAACACAAGATGTATGAGGCTGCTGCCAGTGTAACATAGCATTGTGTTTTATAGCAAACATTTTTGTATGTAGAAAGAGTACACTAAATTAACAATAGAAAGTTTAGCATAGTAAATACATAAACCAGTAATAGTCATATATTATCATTACCAAGCATTATATACTGTACATAATTGCATGTGCTGTACTTTTATCCAATTGCAGTGCAATAGTTTGTTTACACCAGCACTACCACAAACACTTGAGTAATGTGTTATCCTACAACGTTACAACAGCTATGACCTCACCAGGAAATAGTAATTTTTCAGCTCCATTATAATCTTATGGGAACATCATTGTATATGCAGCCTGTTGACTGAAATGTCATTATGTGGCACATGACTGTAAATATATTTAGGATAATATTAGCAAGTTAGAAGGAGCTACAAGTTAATTGAGTTTATTGACGTAACATCAGTTAATCAATTATATAATTTTCAGGTGTACGTTATAATTTGACATCTGTATATTCTATTGTGTGTTAACCACCCAAAGTCCAGTTTCCTTCAGCTACCATATATTTGATCCCCTTTACCCACTTCGCCCTCCTCCCATCCCCCTATACTTGACCCCGTTAACCATCTACCTCCCTCCTCCTCCCCCACCGCCTACCCTCTGGTAACCACCAGTCTATAGTCCATGTCCATGAGTCTCTGTTTGTCCTGTTCATTAGAGCAACTTGAATTTAATCATGAGGAAACATTCGCCAAACCTAAAAGAAGGACACATTACAACCTGCCTGTAATCTTAAATATGTCAAGGTATGGAAATCAAAGAAAGACCGAGGAGTTTCTTAGATGTTCCAAAGTAAAAAAACAGCAGTAGTTTTACGCTAACTACTTGTCCAGTTTTCAGTTTCTTTAAAAAACTCTTTGAGTTTTTCAGTGAGACTTTCTAAATAAATATGGTTATTAATGTTCCAGATTTCTGAAATTTGGTGACAGAATGATTCGCCAAAGAATTATAATTTTAAGAGAGTTAAATATCCTACTTAAATAGAAATTTATATATTAAAGCCAATCTTATCATTGAATAGAAAATTAAGGGCATATCCAACAAATGTTAATAGCTACAACATGGAAAATAATGGGAAAAGAGTGATTTATTCCATTAAATACTACAATGTAGACAGGTCACATATTCTACAGCTTTTTATATGTGATATTTCTGTTCAAAAGATTAGGCTACATTAGACTGGAATAAAAATGGGGAAATTACAAGATGCTCTTTCCATATAGAAAACTTCCATTTTGAGGATACTAGCAGAAACATTTCTAGAAATTTCATATTCTGTGACTTTATCCTATTTTATCCCCAATTTTGAATCTTGAACACAGAAATGGATATGAAGGGTAGAGCAAAACAAAAACAAACAAACAAATAAACAAGAGCTGTTTGAAGATTTGCCAATATATTATTTGCTAATGTCTGAAGTTAAAATTTTCTTACATTTTTAAGAAACTAAATTTGACTTTCTTCTTCCATTTGGCCATCAGTTCAGCAGTCATCTCCTCAGGCCACATAGCTGTGTTCAGAGAAAGTTGTTTTGTACAAGCCTATCCTGGGTGAGAATAACTTGTTCTTTCTGTTTGAAGATATTTTCTTCTGGCAGCAGATTCTGCCTCCTCATTACTTTCCTCATTCTTATTTACTGGTTTAACCCATTACATTTTATGCTTTCTACCTATCCCTACTTCTGTACTTCAATCGTATATATTGGAGCATCCTTATATCAGGTTCCTTAAATTCTAGAATTCATCATGTCTAACTCCTTCGTTTTACAAAGGAGGACACCTGGGTGTACGGAAGTTCAGTAACTTGCCCTTCATGTGACTATATAGTTATAGATCCAGTATTGGAACCCAGCTCTCCTGACCATTGTGTAGTGTTCTTTCCTCTGGTTTTGTGTCATGAAATCTGCCCATATTATAAATGGAAACCAATTCATTATGCCTTTAGAAACTTCATTAAATAAACTCTTTTTAGATACAATCTAAGAAAATAGTGCAGTGTAGTGTAAAGTTTGTAAAAGATATAATTAATAAAGAATACATGACAATTGATAAACTTATGTACATTTGAAAATTATTAATATAATGATTTTGAAAGAGCTGAAGAACTTAACTACCTTGATAATTCTTTTCATGATAATTATTTCGGTATATACTTTAAGAATTGGAAATCTGGGGTGCAATGCTGTGGCGGGGAGATCTGAAGTTGATTCTGAGAAACCTGAATTAGTGTTAGCAGAAGAGATATGGAGGAGCCATAGAACACTGAGGTTGAATTCAGGAAGACCTAAGACGATAGAGAACTTGCTTGCTCTCTACACTTTTCAAAGGAGAGGTTGGTATGGTGACAGACAATGGAGGCTTTATCAAAATCCTAGGCTGTCAGAAGTAAGGTCTAGTCCACTGAACTCACATGTCACTCTGTCATGTGGATAAGCCCTCTGAGATAGTAGATGTTGGAGACAAAGTGTAGGTGAAGCTTATTGGCTGAGAGATAAAAAAATGATAGGATAAAAGTTTCCTTTTCCATGAAAGTTGTCAACTAAAGAAGTGGGAAAGATCTCAATCCCAAAAAGAGGTGGTACGTATATACAATGGGATATTACTCTGCCATAAGAATGAACAAAATCTTTCTATCTGCAATGACATGGATGGACTTAAAGGGTATTGTGCTGAGTGGAGGACATCAGACATAGACAAATGTCATAGGATTTCACTTATATGTGGAATCTAGAGAAGTGGATAAACAAACAAAAGAGAAACAAGCTCATAGAGATCATTGTGATGGTTGCCAGATTAGGGTGGGATTGGGAGAATGGGTAAAGGGGGGAAGGGATTAAGAAATACAAATTGGTAATTACAAAATAGCCATGGAGATGTAGAGTATAGCATGGTGAATATAGTCACTAGTATTTTAATAACTATATATGGTGTTAGATGGTTACTGGATTTATTGGGGTGATTGCTTTACAAGTTATATAAATGTGTAATATATATTAGACATTTAAGTGTACAACTTATACAATATTGTATATCAATTGTAATTGAAAAAAAACAAAAGACATGAAATGTTAATGAGGATGTGGAGAAGGAATCTTTGTGCACTGTTGATGGGAATGTTAATTGGTATAGTCACTATAAAAAACAGATGGAGATTCTTCAAAAATTAAAACTAGAACTACCATATGATCTAGCAATTTCACTTCCAAGTATATATCCAAACAAAACAAAATCACTATTTCAAAGAGATATCTACACTCCCTTGTTCACTGCAGAATTATTTACAATGGCCAAGATATGAAAACAGCTTATGTCCATCAACAGATGAATGGTTAAAGAAAATGTAGTATATACAATGAAATATTCAGCCACAAGAAAGAAGGAAATCCTGCTATTTGCAACAACATCGGTGGATCTTGAAGGTATTATGCTAAGTGAAATAAGTCAGATGGAGAAAGACAAATACTATATGATCTCATATATGTAAATCTAAAAAAAGCCAAACTCATAGAAATAGTGTATAATGGTGGTTCCCAGGGGCTGGGAGCAGGGGAAATGGGGAGATGTTGATCGAAGGTACAAACTTCTGTTATAAGATGAATAAGTTCTGAGGATCTAACATATAGCATAGTGACTATAGTTAACAATATAGTATTATATACTCGAAAGTTGCTAAAGAGAGTAAATCTTAAATGCTCTCACCACAAAAAAAATGCAATGGTAATAAAATACCTAAGAATAAACTTTAAAAAGGGTGTGAAAGAACTATATCCTGAAAACTATAAGATGTTATTAAAATAAATTGAAGAGGATACAAAGAAATGGAAAGATATTCTGTGTTCAAGGATTGTAAAAATCAACAGTGTTAAAATGGTCATATTACCCAAAGCAATATATAGATTTAATGCAATCCCCATCAAAATCCCAATGGCATTTTTTAAAGAAATAGAACAAAAAAATCATCCAATTTGTATGGAACAATGAAAGATCTCAAATAGCCAAAGCAATCCTAAGAAAAAAGAACAAAGCTAGAGGCATCACATCCCCTGACTTCAAACTATGCTATAAGCAACAATAATTAAATCACTTTTGGCAGAAAAATCAATCGCTATTGGTATTGGCAGAAAAAAAACAGACAAACAGACCAACAGAAAAGAATCAAGAGGCCAGAAATAAACCCACATATGTATGCGCAAATAATTTTCTACAAAGGAGCCAAAAACATAAAACAAGGAAAAGAAATCCTCTTCAATAAATGGTGCTAGAAACATTGGAAAGCCACATACAAAAAATAAATAAATAAATGAAGCTAGACTGCTATTTGTCACAAAAGATACACAAAAATTAACTCGAAACGGATCAAAGAGCTAAATATAAGACCTGAAACAATAAATGCATAGAAGAAAACATAGGTTCTAAACTTATGGTCCTTGGTCTTAGAGACAATTTTATGAATTTGAACTCAAAGGTAAGGGAAATAAAAGCAACAATAAATGAATAGGACTCTATCAAACTAAAAAGCTCTGCACAGCCAAAGAAACCAACAAAACAAAGAGACAATCAACTGAATAGAAGAAGATATTTGCAAACAACACCTCCGAAAGGTGGCTAATTTCCAAAATATATAAAGAATTCATACAACTCAACAACAACAAAACAATCCAATTAAAAAGTGGGCAAACTACCTGAAAACACACTTCTCCCAAGAAGACGTACAGATGACCAAAAGATATATGAAAAGCTGCTCAACTTCACTAGCTATTAGGGATATGCAAATCAAAATCACCATGAGATACCACCTCACACCTGTTCGAATGGCTATTATCATCAAAGTAAGTAATAACAAATGTTAGAGAGATTATAGAGAAAAAGGAATCTTTATACACTGCTGGTGAGACTGCAAACTGGTACAGCTACTATGGAAAACAGTATGGAGGTTCCTCAAAAAATTCAGAATAGAATCACCATATGACCCAGCAATCTCTTCTGGGTATCTGCCTGAAAATTTTGAAAACATTTATTTGTAAGAATATATGTACCCCTATGTTCACTGCAGCATTATTTGTGGTGGCCAAGACATGGAAACAATCAAAGTGTCCTTCTATAGGTGATTGAACAAAGAAGATGTGGTACTATATACAATGGAATACTATTCAGCCACAAGAAAAGATGAAATACTGCCATTTGTGACAACATGAATAGATCTTGAGAATATCATGCTAAGCAAAATAAGTCAGAAAAATTTGAGAACCATATAATTTCACTCGTATGTAGGATGTAAAATTGAAAGCAACAAATGAACGAGACAAACAAAAACTCATAAACACAGACAACAGTATAGTGGTTACCAAAGGGAAAGGAGAATGGGAGGAAATAGAAAAAAGTAAAGGGGTCAAAATATAGAGTGAAAGAAGATCAAACTTTAGGTAGGGAACACACAATGCACTTAGAATTGTACATTTTGGTAATTTTATTAACCAATGTCATCTCCAGTAAATTTAATAAAAGAAACGATAATTATGTGAGGTGATGGAGGTGTTAATTAACATTACTGTGGGAATAATTTCACAATATATAAGTGCATCAAATCAACACATCATACACCTTAAACTTATATATCAATTATATCTCAATAAAGCTGAAAAATTATAGCCACACTGGTAGGTATGAAAGTGGTACCTCATGGTTTTAGAACAACCATTGTTTAACTGTATATATGTCACAGTACTGAGAAACTTGAAGCCAAGATGTTACCACACTCAAATAAGAAAATTCTTATATTATTACCTTTCTTCATAGATTCTTTTTCCATTCCTTCCTTATATGTGTACAAAAGTTCATCAACTTCCTTTAGATCCAGGAAGCCTGAGCCATCACTGTCCCACTTCTGAAACAGAGCTTCTAGGAGAAGTCCCCGTCGGACTCGGGAAGCATTTTGTCTAGCCTAGAATACATAGGATAAAAAAGCAAAGAAGATGCGCCATTCATTGTACGAGCTGGCATCCTAAGTTTATTCCCCCTAAAGAGCAGTGCTTTAAAAAAAAAAAAAAGGCTTTATTTTGAGGACTAAGCATGATATTAATGAGAAAATTAAGCTTTTAATTTTAATCCTCTAAATACCATTTCTGTTTCACCTCTAGAACAAAAAAAGACGGGAATTCTCTGCATTGAATTAAAACATTAATTTGAGAAGAGGACTGCACTCCTTAAGAATCTTTAAATTATTCCTTTCTACTCCCTCACTGGTTGTTCTGGAATGTGATAAACACATGGGGTACTCTGCCTGACTTCTTAGTGGGATATATTCTGTAGTGAAGGGAGATGAATGGCAGTGTTCAAACAATGAAAAATGATTGTATTCAAAAATTCTTTTTTATATTTAACATTGACCTAACTTGACATTAATTACCTTTTAGATTTTTTACTAGGTTAATTATATCAATTAGATAGTAATTTAATTAACATCTAGCTAGATTTAATTGCTAAAAGAAAGCGAATATATACCATTTGGTTGAATGAGGAGAACTGCAATAGAGGAAGCAAGAGATATCAACTCCATAATTAGGCTGAAAAGACTCATAAGGCTGCTGAAGTTACTGAATATCCCTGGTGAATCTAATTTACACATTTCATATAAGAGCACATAAATTGTTTATATCAGCTAATGTGTGTGTATTTATCTATCACCCAAGTAAGTTCTTAGGAAATAAATACTACCTCGGTGCAGTGCACATGAATAAAAATATATATTCAAGCCATAACTCTACTTTATGCATTTATAAATGAACTCATGCAGCAGACAGACACACACACACATCTTTGCTCATACACATATCTGCTCCTCAAAAATCTGCTCTTCAAGCTTCAGAGGAGTTAAAACAAAGCTGTATAATAAACCATCTCCTGCCCCAGCAATCACGATAGTGTTAGGGGAATGAGTCCTCTGGAGTGTAATCTTAGAACATTTGACAATAAAATAAAATATTTAATGGCCATGCTCATTGAAATAAACTGATAAGTTTGGTGTAAATTTTTAAAGAAGAGCCACACAAGAACAACTGAGGTAGAGAGATTTACTTATAACAGTGACTTCACTTGTTTCATTAAGCAATATTACTCACCTCTTCTAAACCACTTATTTTCTCTTCTTTTGTTTCAACGTAGCCTCTCTTAAAAAAGAAGGTGAGAGTCTCACTGACACTCAAGGGAGTATCTTCACCAACAAATGTCTCCAGGAGTTGCACAAACTGGAGCAGATTGATGGAAACTCCATTGAAAGCACTCCTACCTTTTACTTCCTTATAAGACTGAATATTTCTGATAATTGAATGTAGGTCTATCAGTCAGGAAACACACCAAACAATAAAGTTAATAATTTTCTCAAAGATCAAGAAAAATATACAAGTATTTATTGTAATGGACATCTGCTATTTTTTTTTTTTTTTCCTGTCAGGAATCCATGCTCCTTTCATGAAGACAGCACCCTTTTTTTAATTTGACAAAAACAATCTCTCCCCCATTGTCAGTTTAGATAAACCAGATGGTACTGAGTCTCCTCAACTCTTGCCCAAGGATGGCTACATGATATAGGTCTGGATTTATATATGACAGCAATGTAACATATTATGGGCCAATGAGAATTATACCCAAAACTTTTAGGAGAACTATTGGAAAAAAAACCACTCTTTTTGTACTCTGATTCCTGAACTTGTAGGATGTAGGCTTAAAGATACTTTCATGGACATCTTTGTCACAGTATCAAAAAAACAACCTAAAATTGAAAGTTACACAGAGAAGAAGAGGGTCGAGAGCCACAGACAGTGTCCTACGGCTATTGTTGAGCCCTTGGATTCACTGTGTCAAAAGCCAGCTGCAATTTCTACTTGCCAGTTAAATAAGTCTGTAAATACCACCACTACCACCTCTCCCCCAAAGAGTCTTTAATATATTTATCTTGGAGCTCAATGTTATAGCATAAAGCATATTTCATAAAATTTCAACCCAATAACTTAAATTTCATCTATTCATTAATTTAACCATTCATGATCTTATGCCATACATGTGAAATTTGATGTCACTTAAAAATGATCAAACATGAAGTGGATGTTTTGATTGTTTACATTTTTAAAAAACATGGAAAAAAAAGATCATCCATGCAGTTTTTACAAATAGTAAAGCAAAATTGAAAGAAAGAAGTAAGACCAGAAGAACATAAACTAGTAGGCTGCAAGAGCTTGACCAATGCCATGCATTTTCACCAAAATATTTTGAGGATAAAAGTTCGTTATTTAACCCAGACTTAAATGAGAAAAAATTTGCCTAGGAAGAAAATAATCTTGATCTAATTAGTTCTACTACTTGTCGCTGAAAGGTAAAATGATAAAATAGTATTGTAGTAAAATATGACTACTTGTTGGAAATATCACTGTTAAATACATGATCTATCTCAGAGCTAAAAGCTACTCTTTGCTCTCTCTGTTGAGATCCTTTTTTATAAGTCTTCAAAAACAAGCTAGATTCTCACCTGTATCACATGTTTGGATATTGAACTACTAAGGAGAGGAACTGCTAGAGTGATTTCTAATGAGTTCTAATATCTAATATCTGATTCCCTTTGTATACCTGGATCATAGCTTCAAAGCAATTGTAGGACCATGTAATGGAGGAAAAAACCCAACCATATACTAATGCACGTATTTTAAAGCAGAACATTCATCAATAGGTCATGCCTACCACCACCCAAAATATTCATCTTGTATGTTTAGATCCATCAACTCAGGGACAAAATAATGCAAGGATCACCCCGCTATTGTATCGTGGGTAAATCCAGTCTTTATCATGGGGTACCATAGTAAATTAAATTCATCAATTGGACTGCCATATATCCTTCCTAGTTTTGTTGTTAACATGTACCTGTGAACCTGGAGTTACCATAGATTAAGTTTGCCTGTTCCTCATCTTCACATTTGGCATACTTCTTCTCCAAGTTACAAGTCAAAAGTTCACCTATAAAATACACATTCTATAACATAGCCAATTTAACTTCACTTTCACAATATTTTTGTTCTAGAGTATGAATGAAAGGAGGATTAAATGAGTCACCTGACCATGATTTTCCTTCTATTTTGGGAGACTTGGGTTCACAGGATTTATCTTTCTGAAGTTCCTTCTTTGCAGTTTCTAAATGGTACAAAAGAAAGTGCCTATGAGTTGGACATTATATATTCTATTAAATATTCTTAAGTTAATGAGTGAGAGAGATGCCTTGCATATAGAATACCAAAAACTTTATTTCACGTGCTCTCCAATAGATTTTGTATCATAATCAACAACAATGATATCAGTTAACAACTCTAGTTGTTAAGAGCAGCTCTGTGACAAAAGCTATTTGTTTCTATACCCCCAACTCGGCCATGCAAAATGAGGGCTACATTTCCTAGCCTCTGACATAGCCAGGTGCTCCTACATGCCTAAATACTGAACAATGACATGTGAAGGGAAGTGATGTGATATCTATCCTTTCTCCTTTCTCCTTACCTGCTGGTCAGAAAGAGGACATGGTAGTGAGCCATCTTGGACCATGTGGTTGGAGGAGACACAAAATAAAAGGAGCTTGAGTCACTGCTGATTTCATGGGGCTGAGCTGTCATATAACTTTTGACTTTTGTCATATAACTTTTGGGGAAAAAAACTCCTATCTTGTTTAGACATTGTTATTTTATTTTGTTTTTGTTTATGTTTTTTTAGACACTGTCATTTTGGATCACTGTTACATATAGCCAAAATTACGTCCTCACTAGCATAACATCAGATTAAATAGTAACTTTGCTAATTTTTAAGCTGCATTCCTACTATGTAAGAAGAGCCAGAAATTAGTAGCTCTGTTTTGTGGAGAAATAAACACAATACTGAAAAAAATGAAAGAAATTAAATTAGTTGATGATAGTGTAGAATCTAGAACACAGGTTATCTATCTCTTAGGATTTTTAAATAAGAATTTTCTTTGGGACTATAAACTTTAGAATTAAAAAGCAGAACTTTAAAAAATTATGCCTAACTGAAGTCTTAAGTGGCATTGAGATTGGACCTCTAAAAGATTAGAATTTTTCAAAAAAGGGTATAAATTGGCATAGATGATTCAGAATAAATAAATAAAATGTCTTCTGCAGATAAATATTTGAAATGCAGAGTGCTTTCTGTCTTAAACAACTTTCAGAAACTCTTCTAGAACATGTCTTAGTTGTAACTGAAAAAAGCAACATCTATTTTATAGTTGAAATAGAAGAAATTTTTAAAAGTGGCTTCTAATACCAGATACCACATTTAAAACAAAAGGGCTTCTACTGCCTTTTCCGAGTTCCAATGTAAATTTCTGTATGTAACATTACCAGATTTCTTCCTTACAAATGGGCTCCTAGGTCCAAAGGAATTCTAGATAAGTTGACAATGGAGGCTTTCTGGTTTGCATTTAATTGATAGTTCAAGGTCTAGATTCATACTGAGTAGCAAAATATGTCTGAGGTTTGCATGACCTGATATGCCAAAAAATGCTAATTGAAACATATTTTCTGAAAAGACTTTAAAAACCATTCCACAAAACAGGGAGCTAATGTTATAGGAGAACTGCCTTACTACCTGAAAGATGATCTTTTTTACTTAATATTCTATCTTCCTCTTGCAGGTCAGAAATCATGAATAGTTCCTCCGCATATACTTGCTCCTGAGGCCTCTCTTCCTGTGGAGGGATTTCAGTGTGCTCAAAGTGAGTAGCCTCCCTAAACTTTTCACTTGATTGTGAAATTGAGTCTATGTCCTGTTGTTCTGGAATTGTCCCTCTGGGTGGTTCTTGTTCTTCAGCTGACTCTTTCTGTGGTTCTTCTAATACTGACTCTCTGTGTAATCTTTTGTGTGATCCTTTTCGTGTTACTGACTCTCTGTGTGAGCCTTCTTCTGTAACTGACCCTTTGTGTGGTCCTTGTTCTGCAGTTGACTCTTTGTGTGATCCTTTTCGCTTTATTGACTCTCTGCGTGACTCTTCTGTGATTGACCCTCTTTGTGGTCCTTGTTCTACTACTGACTCTCTGCGTGACTCTTCTGCGATTGACCCTCTTTGTGGTCCTTGTTCTACTAATGACCCTCTATGTGACTCTTCTGCGATTGACCCTCTTTGTGGTCCTCGTTCTGGTACTGACCCTCTACGTGACTCTTCTGCGATTGACCCTATTTGTGGTCCTTGTTCTACTACTGACCCTCTATGTGACTCTTCTGCGATTGACCCTCTTTGTGGTCCTCGTTCTGGTACTGACCCTCTTCGTGACTCTTCTGAGATTGACCCTCTTTGTGGTCCTCGTTCTGGTACTGACCCTCTTCGTGACTCTTCTGAGATTGACCCTCTTTGTGGTCCTCGTTCTGGTACTGACCCTCTTCGTGACTCTTCTGAGATTGACCCTCTTTGTGGTCCTCGTTCTGGTACTGACCCTCTTCGTGACTCTTCTGAGATTGACCCTCTTTGTGGTCCTCGTTCTGGTACTGACCCTCTTCGTGACTCTTCTGAGATTGACCCTCTTTGTGGTCCTCGTTCTGGTACTGACCCTCTTCGTGACTCTTCTGAGATTGACCCTCTTTGTGGTCCTCGTTCTGGTACTGACCCTCTTCGTGACTCTTCTGAGATTGACCCTCTTTGTGGTCCTCGTTCTGGTACTGACCCTCTTCGTGACTCTTCTGAGATTGACCCTCTTTGTGGTCCTCGTTCTGGTACTGACCCTCTTCGTGACTCTTCTGAGATTGACCCTCTTTGTGGTCCTCGTTCTGGTACTGACCCTCTTCGTGACTCTTCTGAGATTGACCCTCTTTGTGGTCCTCGTTCTGGTACTGACCCTCTTCGTGACTCTTCTGAGATTGACCCTCTTTGTGGTCCTCGTTCTGGTACTGACCCTCTTCGTGACTCTTCTGAGATTGACCCTCTTTGTGGTCCTCGTTCTGGTACTGACCCTCTTCGTGACTCTTCTGAGATTGACCCTCTTTGTGGTCCTCGTTCTGGTACTGACCCTCTTCGTGACTCTTCTGCGATTGACCCTCTTTGTGGTCCTCGTTCTGGTACTGACCCTCTTCGTGACTCTTCTGAGATTGACCCTCTTTGTGGTCCTTGTTCTACTACTGACCCTCTACGTGACTCTTCTGCGATTGACTCTATTTGTGGTCCTTGTTCTACTAATGACCCTCTATGTAACTCTTCTGCGATTGACCCTCTTTGTGATCCTTGTTCTACTACTGACTCTCTGTGTGATCCTTGTTCTACAATTGACTGTTGTTGTGATCTTTGTTCTATTACTGACTCTCTGCGTGATCTTTGTTCTGAAGTTGATCCTCTGTGTGTTCCTTGTCCCACTGTTGACCCTTTGCGTTGTCCTTGTTCTGTTACTGATTTTCTGTATAGTTCTTGTTCTCCTGCTGACTCTATATCTTGCCCTTTAGTTGAAATTTTGTTTGGTTCTTGTCTTGCAGTTGTCTCTTTCTGCCATTCTGGTAGGCTTGGTGGTAGTGTTGATTTTCTATGTGTATCATGTTCATATTGATCTTCCGAATTTTCTAACAATTTATTTTGAGTTTTGCTAGCACGTTTTTCAGAAAGCAATGTATCCATCTCTAAGAGCACGTTGTCAAAGTCTTCATAAATGTGTTTTTGATTATCCATGTCTCCCCAAAACTCTGGCAAATCTATCTCTTCAAATTCAACGAATGGCCCTAATGCAGAAAACAAAACATTTACCTAAAAAATTGATCTTATAATTCAGAATCAGAGCTAGTAAATTAATGCAAAAAAAATTGAGCACAGTGATTATAATATAAGCCTATTGCTTCAAGTAAATATTAATTACCTTTTCCTGCAATGTAATAAAAAGCAAAAAGGTATCCAAAAGAACATAAAATATGCTCACTATTGTAAGTTAGAAATCATCCCTTCCTAAAAGGCATGGTTTTAAAAACAACCATGATTCCTCTTTTGCTAGTAGGAGAGTTGCCTAAACTTCTAAAGCAAATAGAATTTATTCTTTACTCTTGGTCCACCCATAACAAAGCTAGCAGAGGGATGAGGAAGCTTACACATGTCTTCCACCTTAAATACCTTTTCAATATCTACAATATCAAAATAAAAGCAAGTCTCTATCCATGACAATCTTTCAGTGGTCTATTTTTTCCCAATGTTTATTTAATCTCCCTTCCTCCTTCCCTACCTTTCTATCTTCTTCATTCCTCAATTCTTTTCCTCCACAACTTATGTGGACACCTAGTTCAGAATTCTCAGACTGGATTTTTTTTTGCCAGAATCCCAGTGTTAAAAAACAACAACAGCAATAAGAACAAAATAACCCTTATGTAAAGGACTATAGAGAGTGGGACTATGCCATAAAACTGTCCCTCTCTCTCTTAAAACATTTAGTATTTAAGCTATAAGATTGTGATTCACACAGTTTTCAGAATATTCTATGTATATCACTCACAGATTTTTGAGTATTCAAGTAATACATTTTCACACAGAAATAAAATATTGACATTCTTTGGAAAACCCATCCATTCAATGACTTTCTCTTTAAAAAAATAAAAATAAAATCCATAGTTTTATTTGTTTTGGTAGTGATATAAAAAAAGATATTTCACTGTATAAGTACAGTAAAGGTATATGAATAAAATGCTTTGGAGAAGGAAACATTTTTCTTAGAAATCTTAGAATTCTAAGTTAGACACTAAAACTGGAATTACCGTTACCAACTTAATTTCTAAAGCATTCAGATTATTACTAAAACACTTCTTCATTTGAATGAAACAAAAATTGAGTTTTACCTGAGTTCTAGCTTGACAACTTTTAGTTTTGCACTGTAGTGAAAAAATCATCTAGTTTGGTGAAGAGTGAGGAGAATTTTGTGGGGAATGAATGACAATATAGCTATCACGATCTCGGAAATGTAAGTGAAGAAATTCCACAGGGGTAGAATGACATTGTGTTATCATATTAGTGTACTGCATCATTCCAGCTTGAGCATATTCCCTCTGGGTGGCACTTACATTGTCTTGGGTTTCGAAGTAAACTTCTAAGCCTTTTTGAACTTTGGTCATAGAATGTTTCCAACAAGGCCAATGTCCTCTGCCGATTCAAAAACCCTACCTAAGCAGAAAGTTTGCAATTAGTTGTTACAGGAAATTTGAGATTTTTATGTAGAGGGAATATGGCTTATTGAAGCATTTATCATCACCACCACCACCATCATCATGTAAATAAAAGCTGAAGAGTCAAAATCAGGAAAGCTATAACTTGCCTCTTTAGGCTTATAATCTTCTTCTCCAATCTGTGACATTTCAAAATGCCTTACATTTAATAGAGGTTCAACATACATTTATTGTTAATGGCTTATTTGTTAAATCCAATGTACAATGTTCACTTCTTTGCTAATCTGACCTGAATATAACACTTGGAACAATTAACTACTCCCTGCTTGTTCTTATTTCGCATTGTTTTTATATTGGGAAAATTTTTAATTACCGAAAAATAAGAAAATGATAAAAGTAACATTTGTGTTCTCAACACCCAAAAGTGATGATTGTTAACATTTTCTGTACATACTTTAAAAATATATAACTGATATTATAGTACATGTGTCCATCTTAAAGTTGCTTTTATATATTAACATTGAGATCTGATTCATGTATGTAAAGAAATATATTTTATTCCTTTGACTGCTGTATGGTATTCTATAATATGAAAACATTATAATTTTAAAAACATTTCTCTTTGATGGCCATTTAGGTCATTTCGAGTATTTTGATACCAAAATAATGCTACAGTGAATATCCTTACACACATCTCCTGCATACATGTGTAAACATTTCCCTAGGGTAAATTACTAGAAGGATAGCTAATGGATTGTACACTATGTGCATTTTCAACTTTAGTAGTTCTTGCCAAATTGCTCCACAAAATACCTATATCAATATACATTCTCACCATTACTGAATGAGAATATTATTACTCCATATTCATCCAATATTTGATATTATTAAAATTCATAATTTTTCCCAATCTGATGGATAAAATGTGTTATCTATTTTAATTTGCATTTCCTTGATTATTAGTGATATTAAATATATTTTCATATGTTTATATTATATTGAGGTTTCTTCATCTATGAATGGCTTTTTCATATCCTTTTCCCTTTTTCATTTGGGAAGAGTTGTCTATTTCTTATTAATTTGTAAATTTTTAATAATGATCATTCTGTTATTTATATAGTAAATATACTTTCTAAGCTTATTTCTTAATTTTTAATTTTAATATTGGTGAGTTTAGCCATATCGATGTTTTTAATTTTGAGGTAGTCAAATGTATCAATTTGACCTCTATAGTTTGTGCTTATTAGGAGTATTCTTTAGGAAATATTACCTATACTGAGGTCAAAAGATATGCTCTATATTTGCTTCTAAAATTTTTAAAATTTGTTTTCCACATCTAGGTCACTGATCTTATGGGACTTACTCTTCCTTATTAATGATGTTGAAATATAATTTTATATTTTTTCTCATATGGAAAGCCAATGTCCCAATATCAATTATTGAGTATTCCTTGTCACTATTTTTATTGCACTCATGTTATATACTAAATTCCCACATTCTCATGGGTCTGATGCCAGGATCAATATTCTGTTAGTATAACTTTATTTTTAAAAATCAGGGAAATTCGCTCTTAGGGCTTCTAGTCATGATGGTGAAGTAGGTAAATGTTGTGCTTGCTGCCTCTCACAACCACAACAAAATTACAACTAAACTATAAAACAGCCATCATTAGGAGTCCCCTGAAGTCTACCTGAACAGAAACCCCACAACTGGGGACACACAGACGAGGCCACCTCGAGACTGGTAGAAGGAATGTAGACATAGAATGGGGTGATCCTACATCCATATGTGGCGGCTGAGAATCGGGAGGGATATCTCAGTTGTGGAGGTCCCCCCGGAGAAGCAAGCAGTCCCAGCCCCACACCAGGCTCCCCAGCCCAGAGTCCCAGTGCTGAGAAGAGAAGTCCCCACAACTTCTGGCTGAGATTGTGGCTGAGTAAGATGGAGGGAGGCTGGAGTTGCAGACATTTCTCTTGGCCATATGTGGATTGCATAGTGACACTTGCTAGGTGACCCCAGGCAGGGCGCAGACTGTGGTGGAACTTGGAGATCCTCATAGGAACCCCTCAGGGCTGGCATACCTTGTGGCTGGCTTCAGACAGAGCCGGAGCATCACCTGGGGCTATATCCAATAATGACACATCAAAAAAGCAGACTGGTAAGGCACCAGAGCTGCTCATGAGGTCAGCTCCTAACTGACTAGTCCTCACAACAAATCAGCTGAGGGTCAATTCCTCTCACTAACATGCAAAGATCAACCAGGGATCAATTACAACAGAAGGGCACATAAGTCCACACAAGGACACACTTGGAGCACCCAAATCAGGTGACCAGGGAAGACTGCGCCACTGGGCCCCAAAGGACATCTACTATATAAGGCCACTCCACTAAGATCAAGAGACATAAGAATCCTAATGAATACACAGAAACAAACATAGAGAGGTAGCTAACATGGAGAGACAAAGAAATATGTCCTAAATGAAACTACAGAACAAAACTCCAGAAAAAGAACTAAACAAAATGGAGACAAGCAATCCACTAGATGCAGATTTCAAAACACTGGTTATAAAAATGCTCAATGATCTCAGTGGGAATGTCAACAAAGAGTTAGGAATCATAAAAATAGAAACAGAAAACATTTAAAAAAGAGTCAGAAATGAAGAATGCAATACCGGAAATGAAGAATACATTAGAAAGAATCAATAGTAGCAGAGAATCAAATCAGTGATTTGAAAGATAAGGTAGCAGAAAACACCCAATCAGAACAGTAAAAAGAAAAATAATCTGAAAAGATGAGGATAGTTTAAGAGGCCTATGGGACAACAGCAAGTGTACCAACATTCACATCATAGGGGTACCAGAAGGAGAAGAGAGAATTGAAAATCTATTTGAAAAAATCATGATTGAAAACTTCTCTAACCTGGCAAAGGAAATTGACAATCGAGCCCAGGAAGCACGGAAAGTGCCAAACAAGATGAACCCAAAGAGGCCCACACCAAGATACAGCATAATTAAAATCCCAAAGATTAAAGACAAAGAGAATATTAAAAGCAAAGAGAGAGAAGCAGTTAGTTACCTACAAAGGAGCTCCCATAAAATGGTCAGCTGATTCCTCAATAGAAACTTTGCAGGTCAGAGGGATTGGCACGAAATAGTCAAAGTGATGAAAAGCAAGAACCTGCAACCAAGATTACTCTATCCAGTAAAGCTGTCATTTAGAATTGAAAGACAGATGAAGAGCTTCCCAGACAAGAAAAAGCTAAAGAAGTTCATCAACACCAAACCATTATTACAAGAAATGTTAGAGGAACTTCCTTAGGAAGAAAAGAAAAAAATTAAAAATATGAATAATAAATGGCAACAACTACACGTCTATCAACAATTAATTTAAATGTAAATAGATTAAGGCTCCAATCAACAAACATAGGTTAGCTGAATGGATAAGTTTTGTTTTAAATCCTTACATATGTTGCCTACAAGAGACTCACTTCAGATTGAAAAACAGACACAGACTACAAGTAAAGGACTGGAAAAAAATATTTTATGAAAATGGAAACAAACCAAAAAATCTAGGGTACTAATACTTATACCAGACAAAATAGACTTTAAAACAAAAGCTATAACAAGAGACTAAGAAGGACCCAGTAATCCCACCACTGGGTATTTACCCAAAAAAACCCAAAACACTAATTCTAAAAGACATGCATCCCTATGTTTATTGCAGCATCATTTACAATAGCCAAGATATGGAAGCAACCTAACTGTCCATCAATAGATGAATGGATAAAGAAGAAGTGGTTCATATATACAATGGAATATTACTCAACCATAATAAAAGAATAAAATTTTGCCATCTGCAACAACATGAATGGACCTAGAGGGTATTGTTCTGAGTGGAGTAAGCCAGACAGAGAAAGACAAATACCATATGATTTCACTTACAAGTGAAACCTAAAAAAACAATAAAAACAAACAAACAAAACAGAAACAATCTCAAAGATACAGAGAACATTTTGATAATTGCCAGATGGGAGGGGGTCGAGGAGTGAGTGGAAAGGGGGAAAGGATTAAGAAGTACAAACTGGTAGTTACAAAATAGTCATGGGGATGTAAAGTATAGCATTAGGGATTGGTCAATAATATTGTAACTATGTATGGTGTCAGATGGATACTAGATTTATCAGGGTGATCACTTTGTAAGTTATATAAATGTTAATCACCATATTGTACACCTGAAACTCATACAACATTGTACACGAACCATAATTTAAAAAAAAAATAAAATCATTTTCAAAAAATAAGGGAAATCCTCCCCATGTTTTCCTTTTTATAATTGTTTTAGCTTTATTTGGACTTTTATTTTTCCATATAATTTTAAAAAGCTAAACTTCTTTTTAAAAAAAATACAAAATACAAACACAATGACCCAAAATCTATGGGATACAGCAAAAGCAGTCCTAAGAAGGAAATTCATAACAATACAGGCCTATCTCAGAAATCAAGAAAAATCTCAAATAAACAATCTAAACTTACACCTAAAGAGACTAGAAAAAGAACAGCAAACAAACACTAAAGTAAGTAGAAGAAAGGAAATAATAAAGATCAGAGTGGAAATAAATGAAATAGAGTCTATAAAACTAATACAAAGGATCAATGAAACCAAGAGCTGGCTTTTTGAAAAAGACAAACAAAATTGATAAACCTTTAACTATACTCATCGAGAAAAAAAGAGAGAGGACCCAAATAAACAAAATCAGAAATTAAAGAGAAGTAACAACTGACTCCACAGAAATACAAAGGATTTTAAGAAAATACCGCGAACACTTATGTGCCAACAAATTGGACAATCTGGAAGAAATGGGTACATTCCAAGTAACATACTGAGTCAAGAGAAACAAAATCTGAACAGACTGATTACTACTAATGAAATCCAATCAGTAATCAAAAAACTTCCAGAAAACAAAAGTCCTGGACCAGATAGCTTCACAGGTGAATTTT